TAGTGGGTAGGGACTGGCCTCTGGTGTGCTGCTACGGGGCCGGGGGGTCGGAGGCCGAGGGTCAGGCTCACTGCAACCCAGCAGCCAATATGTTGTGAAGCAGCCCTTACCCTTAAGCTCTACTTCTCCTCGAAGCTCTAGCTGGAATGTCCCAAACTTGTCCAGAATTTGGCGAGCATCATCACTCACATGGATTCTTAGAGCTAAAATAATCCACATGAAATGTATGTATAATCTATGAGCAAATATATGTGAGATATGAGAGTCTCATAGCAGTGAAGATGTCAATTTTGATCCTCCGGCTTGTAACACCATGTGAATTTGTAAGCAGACGCCAATGTTTCAAACAAACATGTCTCCATCTTCAGAGGCATAACCTAGAAGACCAACACTGTCATGAGTAAAATCCCCAGATTTTTCCATAATAAATCTCACTCAGAGTAACAAAATTATGTACCTGGATTTACTTACTATTAGTGAGCACTTAGCGATTGTGTGGTCTTACTGATAACTAACAAACAAATTACCTGATATCATGAGGCTAAGTCTTTCTTGAAAGGCTAATTGTCACTCAGTTGGTCAATGGTTCCACACTTTTTACAGCATTAAAATGATAAATGCTGCTTTCAAAACAACCCAGAATTTGAATCTATCTTTAGAGAGATAAATTCAGTCAGGTTCTTTGACTAAAATTATATAAGCCTATGCATGCTACATGTTTCACCCTTGTTATCCTCCTTGATATGATCACCCTAATAATATTTAGTGAAGAACACAAATTATTGAGCTCCTCATCATACAATTTTCTCTACTCTCCTACTACATCTCAGAGCTTTGTTCTCAAATACACTCTATGACTTCCCTTAGGGTGAAAATCCAAGGTTCAGGCCCATATAAAACAGGTGCAACTACAGTTTTGAACATTATACTTTAGGTTTTTAGACACACAAGAAAGTAAAAGATTCTGAACTGAATAGTAGCAAGCATTCCCCAACTTAAAGCTACTCTGAATTTCTCCATTAAGCAAAATTGTTCCAAAATATTTTAATTTTGCCACATTTTTAGAGGATTTATCAGTTATCTTCATGTTATGATTTTATTCTGTATTGAGTATGATTCTTCTGCCATTAAATAAACTAACAAACTAATATTCAGCAAAAATAATTTGTGAACAAGAAGAACTGTATCTTACGCTGGCCAGTGGATTCCATTCTTGAAGCAGTGTTTACTGTGTCCCCAAACAGACAAAAGTGAGGCATCTTCTGTCCAACAACTCCCGCACACACAGGTCCTGAAACAGAGGTTAAAGTGTTCTGACATATGCATTAATATTCCCTAGTAATTCATATTAAATAACTTTTAATGACCTCTTTATGTGTAGTCAGACATTAAAAAGTACAAATAGACATGCCATATCTTTAATTTTCTAAACCGTTTGTAAATTTTCACATGATCTTCACATCAAATAGTCCTCTGTCATGCCAAGTGATCTATGAGAGAACATAAGCAAGCAAACAAAATGTAGCTTGCACCTCACAAATGTTGGCTGGATAAGCTTTTGGAAGGAAAAAACTGCTCTTTACATTACAGTACTGTAAAAGAGTTTGCCTACAGGAGTAGAGAAATCACAAAATCTGTACAGATAGCCCATAACCTAGCCTGTATTCAAACCAGGTGCTTCCCAAATACAAGTCTAAAGTTTGCCTCTATACAAGTCTACGTAGTTATTATTGATAATGGCATCAAGAACAGAGGAGAAAATGGTCATGGTCAATCTTAAAGAATTAGCCTGGCATTTGCTATGAAAAACTACTGAAAACTGAAAAAAACAAGTTATAGAATGTACACAATTCTGGTGCATTTGCTCTGTTATTGCCTCTACATTTTTAGTTCATAAATGCTAACTTTGATGCTCTCTTACAAACAGGCTGGCAGATTAGCTAGGACCTTCAACAGAACGGATACTGATCTGACATTATGCCACCAGAAAATTCAGTTCCTGCTTCAAAGAAAGCACAATGCATCACCATAACAAATATCAGCTGTTTAATCTTAAGTAAAAAATAACATTATATCAAGTAGGATTTGAGGTTCTCACAGCAGTAAGTATAAAGATGGCTGTCTTCTGGGTTGTAGAATTGTGTAGTGTGGTAAAAGTTTACCGGTGTTTCAGAAGTCAACATTATATCAATAAAATGCTCTTAAGTAAAGAGGTCATTAAAACTGTAAAATCTAAATAAAAACTCGCAATTGCACAACAGTTCTTCATAAAACTTCCTAGTTTAAATGTTATAAAAATCTGTTCAGCCTTCTTTAATTGTTACATGCAGCCAGATAGGTGCTCTCTACAGTGCTGTAAATATGCCAAAGATATGATGGCTAGACTCTGCTGAGATTTGGATCAGCACACATACACTGACCTAAAGTAGTCCCAATTATTATATTCAGTTTCACCTCTAGCCTGTGTTCAGTAATGAACCAGGTTTTTCACCTTGACCCTAATTAATCCAAATCAGTACTTCCAGTTGCCCCTCTGGTCTGTGTCTGATGATGAAACAAAGCCATACTGACCTGAGTGAATCCCAATTCGTATTCTGAGTTGTGCTTCTGGTTTGTGTTTAATTGTAAATGAGTTAACAGCGCCAAGAATTGCTAGGGCCATGAGTGAAATCTCTCGAGCATGATCATCTCCATTCCTTTGGGGTAATCCAGACACCACCATATAAGCATCACCAATTGTTTCCACCTGCAGTGATTCATAAAAGGTGTCATGAACAGATAAATTTTAAAAGTTTTTATTTTAGCTTGGACTTTGAAATAGATTATGAAGAATAAAGCCTGGATTATATTCAAAATTCATCATCAAATCAAGGACTAGGCCTAATGGTCTGATCAATTGTCATTAAATCCATCTGTGGCCAATCATTAATTTCTTAGGTCTTCCAACATTGCTGTTTCCTCATGAACCATAATCAAGGCTGTTTCTGGAATGACAGTTTCCATAATTCCTTTAGACTGTTCATGATATTTATTTCTACATTAAGAAATTCTGTGTTCAGTAGTACTAATATGTAATATTTATCTAATATCGTTATTCCTAATCTGACCTTGAGTGAAAATCCAGCAGCTGATTTAAGAAAGCATTAAAAAACATCACTTTATTATTATTGAAAGATTTGTTATTGTACAAAATTTCAGGATCCTATGATAATATGCTAGTAGTGGTTCTAGCACCAGTCCCACCTTAGATGTTTGTACAGCAGCCATGTTATTGTTAATAGCAGGAAGTCAGAAAGTACAATACTAGAATGCCCTTTAGTGGCATGATGTTCATACCAAGTTACATAAACATCCATAAATTTGTTATGAAGAGGGACACAAGCAGTCATAATGATAGCACAAATTTATATTCTTACAAAATATGGAACATATGCTAAAACTTGAAGTCATAGGCCAGTCTGAAAATAAAATGAATTATACACTTATTTGATAGAACTGTCTGAAAGAATTCATGGAATTTATTAAAATAGGTTTGGATTTTCTGTACCTTGTATACATCATAAAACCCAATTATTCTGTCAAAAGTGCTGTATAAATCATTGAGGAAGTTTACAACCTGAAACAGGAACATATGTATAATTAGGATTTCATGTTTGCAAATAATGCTTGGAGAACTGTAAAGTACAATAATATAAATACAGTTAAGTCACCAGATCTCAATAGTAATAAGTTTGTAACTGAACCACAATTCCAGTTAAGGTTGTGTGAATATGAAGTTAAAGCTCATAAATTGACAAAAATATTGTAATTAATAATAAACTTACAGTACTAACAATTTTTAAGAAAGCTTACTGATTCTTCAAGAATATATGAGAAAAGATAGATTTTCTTCCTTCCATAAACTGTTCCCACACTTGTGGGTAGAATTTAAATAGGAGTTCAAATTGTCTACATCTGCCCATTCCTGCATTTCATCTATCCTCTTCATCTAATCCTATCCTCTCTACTCCTCTCTTAACTTGGTCTGTCTATTGTGTGTATTGTCTTCCATTCTTCTTCATTTCCAATTATCTTTTTGGTATTGCATGGTAATGTATTCTTTCAACATGTCCAACCATCTCAATATATTCCTCTATGCCCTGGTTGAAAGCATTTTAAATGTTACCTGCATTGGTGTGCTCTGAGCACAAAGAGCTGTGAATCCAACAATATCACTGAAGTACACTGTCACACTCTCAAACTGCTCTGGTTGAACCATTTCCCCTGCCATCAGCTGATGAGCTACAGGCCTGAAAATTAACATTATTTTCATAAATATACTCCTACATCCCACTTTTTGAAATTTTTACAAAAGTGAGTAACATCCTATTTGACCTCAGTTCAGACAGTTAGTCACCATTTACTTACTGCAAAGATCCAAGCTGAGTCCCAAGGCAGTTTTTATGAGGCTAATGGAAGATAAAGTGGAACTGGTGCAGGAGTTTCTCTGAGCTTCAGCTCTTAAATTTTTGTGTTCTATCAGTTGTATTAATAAGCCTATGTTAGGCCATTTAAACTAATTTTGAAGTAATTGTACTGGATAAATGAAACAACTTCTGACAGGCTTAATAGCAGTGTCAAATAG